TATTTGCTGCCGGTTGTGAAATTATTGTGGATAATTTATTCAATACTTGCGTGTGTACTTGTATAAGTATATTTTGGTATGTGACAACATGAAATATGATAGTTATTGTTTGTTGTAATGATAATACAGTCATAATTGTATTGTAAAATGTGTTGTATACCATTTGAAAGTGAATTGTATGGGGATGATTCATAAATATGTGTTTATATGTGCAATTGTGTGGTAATTCAAGTGTGATGAATTATTTAAGATATGCATGAATATTAAGATTAAGAAATGGTCTTAATTGCATATGGTTGTTGAACTTGCACATGCATCATTTGTTGTCAAGAGGCAATGCTTGTTAGTTCTATGGAAACTAATGACTTGTCTCAAACCTAGAGCGGGATTTGAAAGCTTAGGGAATGGTCCTTTTGTGTGTTATTGATCTAGAGAACGGACCCGATTTAATGTAAAAATAGAAAAATAATAACAAGTGATTAATGTCACTTGCATGAGTTATATTAGAGTCTTGCATTGAGTCACATCATGTATATGTTTGCAATATGAGATTATGTGAAATATGTGAATTTTGAAATTAATGAACTGACGAATTATAGAATTGTGAGTATGTACTTGTGAATAGTATGGTCACTTGAGTGATAATATGTTGATAAAACTTTTTGAAGTGTGAGAATAATTATGTTATGCTTGTATGCTATATAATATATATTATCTTATGATTTCGATAGTTATGTGAATTCTCACCCTTCTGTTGGAATGATGTTTTGTACGACATTGCTCAGGTACCAAAGAGTAGAGTTGCTTCTAACACGAGGTAACTGTTGGAGTAGCTTATTTTAGTCCCTTTATTTATTTTAGGTCAAGTCATGCCTGATCATGTAACACTGGGAACGTTTCAATTCATGTTTTGAGAGATACTTTATGTATTATACTTTATGTTGTTATTGTTATTTGAATTATGTGGAGCATTGACTTTTATGCCTAAGCGATGATTATGAATGAGTTGATCATTAGACTTTTATTATGTTTATTATGATTGAAGTAATTTCGCTGCTACATGCTAAGTGAAAGTATGTGAAAAACATGAATTTATTTTAAGTGTTATTGAGCATGACAAGTATATGTGTGATGTTTTAAAATTATATGTGACACCCTTATTTGAGATGCATGTATCTTATTCTGATTTATGACGTATTATTATGTGGTGTTTAGAAGGGTGTTACAGAAAGTCTCAAATGATAGGTTTCAAAACAATAACACTATCAAAACTAAAGAAAAAAGAATTTTTAAACTAATAAAAGACTATAAAACTAGTTAATAAAATTTATGACTTTTCATTTTATTTTTGATGTCCTTCAATTTTTCAAAAAGAGTATATGTATAAGATTCATATAGTATAATAAACTTGGACTCAAAAACTAACAAGAGTCCAACTAATATAACCTTTTTATTTAGTTTAATATTTAAAATAAATAAATTCACACTCTATTAAAGAGAGGTCGGAAGTTGACGGAGAGAGATAAAGAAAAAGAGAAAGAGGGGAAGAAGAAGATGAAAACAATAGGTAGAAAATGCCATTATTTTAATGTTTTTCATAACAAACATCTCAAACCTCATTCAAAATGCCATTGTTTTTCCTCAACCTAAAAATGTTTCACCTCGAAATCCATACACAAAACACTAGACACAACAATAGACAACAAAAAGCAACATTAGAGATCCACAACAAAAAGCAACAACAATTTTTTGTCAGATTCGGTAATCACTTTCAACGCCTTCTCTGCCACGTGAAACTGTACCAGCTTCGAAAATAGAGATCCACCCCACCGTGTGTTTTTCGGCCATCCTCAATATCTCTCAGTCGCGTCTTCTTCTTCTAGACCGCTCCAAGTACAATACTTACGTCATTTCACATTCTAATAGTTGTTCTATTTTTCTAAAAATCAAAAGTCAAAAATAATTATAGATATGTTGTACTATATTAGGGAAAGAAGAAAGAAAGATAGAGAGAAGAAAGAAGGAGAAAGACAAAGAAGGTGGAGGCTACATATTTCATTAGAAAGTCATTAGAGTTTGTTCCAAATAATGAATATAAATGAAAATAAATGCAGAAAATATGAAATATATTAAGAAAACGTGAAATCTATTAAAAATAAAATTAAGTCAATTAATAAAATTAAAAAATGTCAAACAAAAAACAATGTTAGATTTTAAAAAGATAACAGTAACGCTACGTAAGCAAATTATAGTTTTTTGTATAAAAAAAAATTAAGGAAATGGACTGTTTAGGGTAACAACACGGTTTTAAAGGACTACATTGTAATGTTTTTTATTTAAAGGATCAAAGTGAAACAATAAGTTAAATTAAAGGACCAAAAGATGAATTAAGCCTATTTTTAACTAATACTTTTATTCTTCTATTCGATGGTGTAGATTTTTCAATTCTCTTAGAACATGGATCTTCTATTCCCATTTTTGTGTTGCCCTCCCTCTTTTTCTAATTCAATGGTCAATTAATGCATAAAGGAAAAAACAAAAGTATGGAATAGACAATAAAAGAGATAAATGTGTGGTTGATATTCGAACTGAATGGAAACATGAGAGAATGTGCATGAGAGGATCCAAATCCATAAAAGAGACAAATGTGTGGTTGATATTAGAACTAAATGGAAACATGCGAGTATATGCATGAGAGGATCCAAATCTGAGAAATATATCGTCTCCTGCCATTTTATGTTTAACCTTCCCTCCTATGCTTCATCAAATGGCAGAAACTTTATCAAAAACAAATAAATAAATAAAAACAACATTGATAAGAGAGATAAAATGATGATGAAGAACTGTGATATATGTAGAACGGGCAGCAGAAGGAATTTGGCAGAAGAGGATCAGAGAGAATCCATCGGGTGCTTGAGAGGATTGGAACTTTATTCCTTAAGATTATTATTCAAAATTCTTGCATTAAATTGTAATGTGAAATTTAGTATTGTCAAATTTGAAAGTTAATAGAATGATTTGATAATAGTTTTTTTAAATGTGATTCATTTTTCACTCCAAACGATTATGTCGAGAAAAAGAAATTTGCCTCTTAACTATTAATATTTTAATCTAAAAAATGTTAAATGTGTTTGGTCATCAATTTTGAGTTTAATACGAGGGAGTATTTTTCATTTGAATACACGTCTTATGAAATACACTCCATAGACGTAGGCATGGTAAAAAAATCCAGATCCGTCAGGGCCCGCCCAGACCCGCCTCGAAATTATCGAGGAAAATCCGGTTTGAATGGGTACGGGTGCGGGGAAAACCCGACTTTTAATTACGGGTGCGGGGAGATACTAAGACCCGCTCGCACTCGGCCCCTCCCCGCCCCCGAATAATGCATTTTAGTCTAATTCTCTTATTTTACTTATCTTAATATTCATTTATTAATTATATTTTTAATTAAATTATTAATACCTTTATTGCAATTAAAATAATTAAATTAATTAAATTAATATTTATTTATTTATTAAAATTTTAATTAAATAATTAATTTATTTATTAAAATAATCAATTTTTTAATTTTATTGCAATTAAAAAAAAATTTGCGGGTGAGGGCGGGGCGGGTGCGGGTGCACCCGTTCTCTACTGGAGGCGGGTCTGTACGGTAAATTTGTACCCCCGATTGAATTTGGGGACAGAGACGGGTGTGTTACATGGAGGCGGGTGCGGGTGCAGGTATAGTAAAACCCGCCCCCGACCCGCCCCGTTGCCATCCCTACATAAATGTGTGACTTTTCTTATTTATAAATATTTAAGTTTTCTTTTTTTAATCAATGTGAAAAATTTTCAAACAATACTTTCAATTCACACTTATATTTTTCAACAAATTTGAATTAATTATTTAATTAATCAATTAAGAAATGACAAAATCAATTATTTATCCATTATTAACATATTATTATTAATATAAATTATGATAAATGGTTTGATTGAGTGTTATTTTTAAATGGAGTATGATGGATGAACACATTCTAATAAGTCTAATGAAAAGTCTATGTCTTCGTCTATTTAACTATTTAATAGTTATTCTATTAGACATTAAATAAGTTTTTTTTTTAACTTAGACTGGTGAGGATAGTTCACCTCTCATGTTTATTCTCTCATTGGCGGTTGCTAAAATTATAAAAAGAATATGGTTCATAATCATCTCTAAATATGTAAATATTCTGAAATTTTTGTATCCATGATTTATTATATTACTTCATATTTTCATATTAAGTATTAAATTAGTATTTTTAGAACTAATACACACAAAAAATACATAAGTAAAAATATAATTATTATTTTGGTCTACATATTTCATTTTATATAAGACTTTAATATCTACACTTTTTTTTAATGAAAATTATGTTAAATAAAGACTATACATAGGTAAAACAAAAACAGTTGGTTAATTGTACCATTATTTATATTTTTTAGATAACAAAATCAATACTCTTAAAAATTAATTTTAGTTATAATATTTTTATTATGCCATTAGTATTTAGACTTTCAATTAAAATGTTAGAAGCTATAATATTGTTATTATGTATGAGCTTTTTGCCTTTTAATTAAAAAAGTTATTATTATGATTTATCCATCGCAAAACTTTAGATCTAGCTTAATTTTATTGTTTTAATTATTTTTAATAAAATCAATTTACTCATGAGATACTATGGTATCTCAACCCGATACAACTTATATCAACTAGAAAAAATTCAAAAAAATTAAAATAATAGATAAAAATAAAAAATATTTTGACAAAGTAAACAAGAACTTACATTGTTCCCCTTTTATATATTTTAGAAATAAATTCCAAATAAAAAAGAATAGCAGTGAATAATTAATGGTACAGTTGCTAAGAAATTATGTATATTGATTAAAGGCTATAAAGTATAGACAAGATGCAAATATTGAAAAGACAAGTGGTTGATAAGAGGTGAGAAGAAAGGAAGGGATGAATGGATGCATTATTATCCATAAGAAGGTGCACAAGCAATGCAAGCAAGAAGAAGAATAGCAGAAGAAACACCATCTTCTTCGACATTGGAACTGCTTCTTTTGAACTTTCCAGTTTTTCCTTTGTTGCATTGAATTTGTTTCTGTTGTTGTTGATTCTGATGTTGCGGTTGTTGTTGCTTGTTCTTCTTCATTGCTTCTTCAACTCTAGATACCATGATGTCTTTGAATTATTTGAAGGAAAATGAAAGTGAAATAGGAAAGAAAGTATGGAGGTAGATAGAGAAGAATGATACAAGTATCTCACTTTATATAGAGTTTTGGTGAGGGGATCTATATGCCTTTGTTTTCTGCTAGTTTTGCCTTAGCTATGGCCCTCCAATTGGCAATTGGAATAATTGGAGATTTTTACATGTCACTCTCACACTTAAATCTATTACCCCTAATTTTTCAAAATATCCAAAAATATATTTGTTAAAATTTAATTAAAAAAATAGTACAGGATCGAAAGTGCAATTAAAAAATTTGGTAAGAAATTCGTTAATTAATTTTAAAATTCTTAGGATTTTCACCGATCGATGTGTAGAAAAAAATATATTGGAATTAATAATACAGAATTTTTCAAAAATCCAATTAAAACTTTTTATTTTGATAGTATATTTGAAAATTCTTAGAAAAATTCATTGGTTTTTTAAAAAAGTCAATGAAAATTTATAAATTGTTTTAAAATTTTCATAACAATTTATAGATTTTTTTGAAAAATCTAATAAAAACGCATAGGTTTTCAAAAAATTTGATACTATGTTTGAAAAATCTGATAAATTGTCATAAATATTTTAAAACTCCAATAATATATTTAAAAAAATCTGGTAGTTCAAATATAATGAAAAAAATGAGTTTGCATTGATTTTTTTTTTAATTTGACAAAACTCGTAGGTTTTTAAAAAATTTGTAAAATCTCGTAGGTTCCATAAAAATTATATAAAAACTAAAAAATATTTCAAGACAAATAGTATATTTTTTTATTTCTATCTCTGTATTTATTTTTTTTTAAAAATAATTCATGAATGTAATCATTTTGGTTTTAATTTTAAAGTTAAAATTAATAGAAAAATCCGAAGAAAAATGCGCAGGAAACCTACGAATTTTCCTAAATATTTTAATTTTGAAAACTAAAACCAAATAAAATTCAAGATTTAAGTACTTTATCTTTAAAAAAAAATTACATAGACGAAGATAAAGACATGTCATCTTACAAGTCATATTTCAAATTCCATAAAACACAATAATTTTTAAAAACATAAAAAAGTTACAAAGAATTATGATAAAAGCATTATAATTGATGGATGTCTGATTTAAGTGTGAGGTTACCGGACAAAATCTCTTATAATTGGTATAAGATTGACCCCTTCCCATATTTATTTTATTATTATTATTATTATTATTATTATTATTTGATCTGACCTGATCAGGAGGGATCACGGACTGGCCACGCTTCGCCGGACGGTTATCTGTTCGCCGAGGTAAGAATGAGGAGGGGGTGTACCTGCAAAGCACTCCGACGCCCAAGTAAGAAGTTGGACAGAGAGGAAGCAATAGTACAGAAAAGGGGGGCAAGAAGAGTTACCTGACCCTCTTGAAGAAGAGGGTATTTATAGAGAGACCCCAGCGCTGGGCCAACGGTCATTCGAGGTGGGCCAGACGACCAGGCCCAACCCTAATGACTGCTAGGGTTTACGTGGCGTAGTGAAGACCAGGACGTGGTCTTCGCCCTAGTTCAACCGCTCCTAGGTCTCCGGAAAGTGGGTTTGACCTGCTCTTTCGGAGGTGGGCGGTTGGCCGATGACGTGTCCCCGCGGAGGGGAGCACGTGGAGAACGTGCGCCGAGCACGTTATTCTCCCGCGGAGGGAGCCCGGGTAGTCTCGCTCGTCTGGTGTGACGGACGACGAAGGGGAAGCGGCGTGATGGCTTGTGCCCGGCGGACGGTCCTGCTCGTCCGAAGGGGCGTGTGCCAGGTGTGCTCAGTTCGCCTGTTGGGCCGTATTTGGTATTGGGCCTGCCGAGGTGAGGCCCACACCGGAACATTATTATTATTATTATTATTATTATTATTATTATTATTATTATTATTATTATTATTATTATTATTATTATTATTATTATTAATTTTTTATGAGGTTATTTTAAATTTTATAATTTTTTCTCTCACATCATTTTTTAAATATAAAATTATGTTTGTGAGATTTTAAAGTTAGATGATTTTTTGGGTATGTTATTTAATATTTTTAACTTATTCTTTATATTACATGTTATTTGTATTGTTACTGTTTTTAATAAATTTTGTTAGAAAAGTGTGATATCTTAATAATGAGATAATTCGTATGAACGTGTAAAAAATTAAATCTAAATTCTCAAATTCAACCATTTTTTTGGTAACAAAATTCGACCATTTTAAAATAATAGAATAGAATGTAATTTTCGTAATAACATTTATTAATAATAAATTTAAATTCAAAAAATCAAAATAATAAATAATTCATTTCTAATGTAAGACGTGAATAAACGTTGAATGTCGTTCATCTCTTTTGTGGATAAAAAATTATGGTTAGCACGATCACAAAATATAATTTAGAAACAATAGTATAAAAGGAGCATAATTTAAGGGGGAATTATGTAAACAAAGTGTAACATAAAAGATAATGGTTTGTAAAAGAGAAAAAGACAAATGATTTGTAAAAAAATAAAAATAAAAATAAAAGATAAGTGGCGCTTATTAACAAAAAAAATATTTTAGTAAATAATATTAATGTTATTAAATCAACAAAATTAATTTATATGAAAGGAATTAGAGGAGTGTGGAATGATATCCGACGTTTTTGTTTCTCGAAATAAAAATATAATGGGTCAATTGTTTTGTGTCGCTCGGTTTGCTAAGGTGAGGGATTTGAAAAATTGAGCAAAGCTTTAAACAACGTTTATTTTAGAGATTATCGATTGTTTGCGAATGTGGCTCGTTAAGATAGGTTTGAGAAGTTTGATAGGAGAAACATGGGGAAGGGAGAGGGAGGAAAATTTTTTAGACATGAGGACAAAAAATATTCAAGGGAGAGTGGGAGAAGGGAGGCTAAGTTTGTTGGGATCAGTAGCAAGAAGGAGTTGGAGAGGGTGAAGGAGGAAGGAGGAAGTCGTTAGGAGGGAAGAGGAAAAGGAAAAACTTATAGTGGTGACGCATGGAGGGGTGGTAAGTAAGGTGTTAAAGGAGATGTGGGAAGACTCGTTTCTTAGTACTAATGTGAATGGTAAGAATTTATAGGTGGTCAAAGATGGGAAGGGAGGGGTGGTTCTGGTTTATACAAGTTATGAGGTTGTACCTGAAGATATTGAATGGGATGTAATGGTAAGGTGACTAGGATTCAGAATGGTGTTAGAGTTTCAATTATTCAACAATCTATCTCAAATGTTGGGTTTCATAATTTTATGGTGGCACGTTGAGAGGAGAAAGAATCTTTTTGTATTTTACGGGAAAGACGGAGGTGATGTCAGTTTTTAATAAAGCGACTAATTTTTCAGTTTTTTGTGTATGATTGTCATGCTTGATCAAAGGATAGTGACTTGGTTTATGAAATAGGGGTGTGGGTTCGTTATTATGGTATACCGTTACATATCAAGGGTGATTGTTCAAATATGTTCACTGCTTTGTCAAGAGGGACAGGTGAAGTGATTAAGAAGAAGGGACGATTTGAAGGTGGTAAGAGGGAGGGGAGAGAGATATTAGGCTTGAAAATGGTATTTTAAGACATGGTGTTTTCGGGGTTGTGGAGAGGGAGTTGAGTGGTAATAATAAAGCTTGTTTCTTTTGATATGATAGAGTTAGGTGGTTGGGAGAAGAAGAGGGATGTGTAGAGGTTTGTTAGAGAGAAGTGTCTGTTGGTGGTGTGCATTCAGGAAAGGAAAATGGAAGTGATTGACGAAGTTGTGTATAGGTGTCTGTGGGGGTTCTCTGAAGTGGGCTATTCTTTTCAACCCTCTGTAAGGGCCTCTGGTGGTTTATTGATATTATGGGTTATTAAAGAGGTGGTGGTGAAAATTTCATTGAGTTTGTTTATTATAAAAGGATTTTTTAGAAAGTCAAGGCGTGAGTTTGCTATTGCCAATGTTTATGCTCCTTGTGATAGTGGTGGTCAATCATCTTTGCAGAATCGCTTGGTGTTCTGATTAATGATGACGAGGGGAATACTTAATGTGTGAATGGTGATTTATTGAAGTTGTGTATAGGTGTCTGTGGGGGTTCTCTGAAGTGGGCTATTCTTTTCAACCCTCTGTAAGGGCCTCTGGTGGTTTATTGATATTATGGGTTATTAAAGAGGTGGTGGTGAAAATTTCATTGAGTTTGTTTATTATAAAAGGATTTTTTAGAAAGTCAAGGCGTGAGTTTGCTATTGCCAATGTTTATGCTCCTTGTGATAGTGGTGGTCAATCATCTTTGCAGAATCGCTTGGTGTTCTGATTAATGATGACGAGGGGAATACTTAATGTGGGGGGTCTCTGAAGTGGGCTATTCTTTTCAACCCTCTGTAAGGGCCTCTGGTGGTTTATTGATATTATGGGTTATTAAAGAGGTGGTGGTGAAAATTTCATTGAGTTTGTTTATTATAAAAGGATTTTTTAGAAAGTCAAGGCGTGAGTTTGCTATTGCCAATGTTTATGCTCCTTGTGATAGTGGTGGTCAATCATCTTTGCAGAATCGCTTGGTGTTCTGATTAATGATGACGAGGGGAATACTTAATGTGTGAATGGTGATTTTAATGTTATTCGATTGATTGAGGAAAGAAGGAGTAGGGTAACTGTTGACCGTGTGGATGATTATTCTCATTTTAATTTGTTCATTAAAGTAAATGTTATGGTTGATTTACCATTGTGTGGGAGAATATTCACGTGGTATTAGAGGTATAGTTTTTCTATGAGTCGTCTAGATCGTTTTTTATTATAGGATGCTTGGTTTATTTTTGGATGAATTCTGTTCAAGTGGGTCTTCCTCACACTAATTTTTTTAATCATTGTCCAACTATGTTGACTATTGACGAAGAGAACTATGGTCCTAGGCCAATGAGAATGTTACAATGTTGGACTGATTTACCAGGTTACACGAAGTTAGTGAAGGAAAAATGGTTATCTTTTCAGGTGTATGGTTAGGGGTTTTGTGCTAAAAGAAAAACT